TGACAACATTACAGATCAAACTATGGCAGAGTAAGGAGGGGTGGTGGAGTGGCTCCAGTGGTAAGTGCCGAGTTCATGCCGTATCGCCAAAAAAAAAGAGGGTAAGGTCTGGTGACATGGCTTAAGTGGCAGAGCAACCTTCTAGCAAGCACAAGGCCTGATTCAAACCCAATACCCAAAAATGATCAAGGTAAGGAAGGCCAAGGGGCAGGAAAGAGCTAGAGCTTCCTCTGTGCTGGTGTCTAAGCATTTGCCAGTCTGGGTGTCCCCAAGATCTGTGCCATTCTTTGCCATCATCTACAGAGTACTGTATTAGTTAATGACTATTTTCCCTTAAATTGGCTTGCTTTTACTTAACTTTTTTCTTTTTGTGTGCTGGGGATGGAGCCGGATCTTGCACATATGAGGCAAGCACTCTGCCACTGAATCACACCCCCAGCACAACTTAAATAATCTTAAAAGGAAGTTACATCACTGTCATAAAGTTAAAGCTGAGATCAATGTGCTTTTTATCCTTAGGAGACATTATAGTCTATGCGTCACTATTTAAAACACACAACGTACCTGTTCATCTGAGCGCCACCTAAAATCACCTCAAATAATAGCTGCGTATGTTTAGAAGCTCTGTGTTATTTCAGTTCATCTTCAGGACCCCAGGTCCCAGCCCAGGGCAGAGCCCTGTTATTGCTTACCATGGCTCAGAGACAGGGAGGGAGCTGTGGAGGTCATGCAGCAAAGCCACAGTACTGCAGGGTGGAAGCCGGATTTGGTGGCTCCTGCGGCCAGGCTCTGTATATCACAGAGCCAAGGGACAGGCCTGTCAGATGGTGCTGCCAAGATGGGAAAAGAGAAGAACAACAAGATCTGGCCCTTGTCAGGCTATGTAAGCTGCTGGGTGGGCAGCCATATGTGATCATTGACTGCAGCAGGAGGAAGCCATCAGAGGCGAGCCTGGAGCTCTGGGAGGGTGCAAATGAGGCCAGCTGGAGGGGACATCCAACCAACCACACAGGAGGTCTGTCAGGGAAGGAGGGTGTGAGAAACAGTGGGCAGCCACCACCTGCTTTCACTCCAGCAATGACTTCTGGACCACAGTACCTCTGCAGCTCCCAGACGCCTCCCAGAAACTCCAACATCTCACAGGAGAGCTTTTGAAGCCTAGCAGATAGGTTTGCAGGCAGGGAGGCATGCTCATTGCAATGCCTTCTCAGAGCTGGTTGTCTCAAGGACCCTGAGGAATGGTCCAGTAGAGAGTGGGGCAGTGGTGGAAGCAGCTGGATACCAAGTACTAGGTGAGCAGCACAGCCCAGCCCTGGAAAATGTGGCTTCTCTGCAACATATTTGACTCCTTGGAAAATTCCATAGCACGTTCTCCCTGTCCTGCTTTCCAGTGGCCTGTGCTCAGAGGCTTTCTTATCCCAACTTCATCACGTGACCTGTGTTCACCTAATGCAGATGGCCACTGGTCTGAGTCCTTCCAGAGCTTCTCTGCTGTCTGGCAGGCCCACTGAAGTGTAAGGACCCTTCCATCTCTGAGGTATGCAGCTTGGGAAGGTTACTTCAGCTCTCTGCTTTGGATTCCTCCTCTGAAACATGGGGACAATGATGGTAGCTATCTCATTAGGTTTAAAGTACTACAACATTGCCTCACAGCTGGTTAGCACTCTGAAAGGCTTAGCTATAACCATGCTTGCTGTTCATGTAGGACCCTGTACCTGAACAGGGTTTCTGAAACCTCAGAGTTGTGTGTGGAGGTGTAGTGTGGGATCCAGTCCACTCCAGCCAGCCTATGGTAGGAAACTCTTGGCTGTTCCTCATCTCATTTTGCTTCTCGAAGCTCTTAAATAGTTTAGGGGGAAACAAAGAAGCATCTCATAGTGGGAAGATGCAGATATTGTCTGGTTCAAGCTCAAGCTCTGTAACTCCACCCTCTGAAGTCCTTCTCACATGGCTGAACCAAGAAATTTACTTCCAATGCAGCCCCTTTCTTCCTTCCTTCCTTCCTTCCTTCCTTCCTCCCTTCTTTCTTTCCTTCCTTCCTTTTTCTTTTTATTTTCTTTTTTTTTATAACAACCACTTATTTATTTCAGGACATAATCTACTACTTAGACTAGTGGATAACACTAAGTTATAACCTTGTTTAATTATCTATAGAATCTTTTATTTTTTCAAAGATAAGTTCTAAAAATCACAAAACCACACAGGTTAGTAACACACACCAAAATGAGATTTAAAATGTAAGTCATGGCTCTCATTAACTGTGCTCTACTGTGAAAGATGCTACAAGAATACATACTAGACTACTAGCTGTTCTAAAATGTTCGAGTTGACAAGTACCCAACATTCTCCAGCATTTATAGACATACCTGTTGTATAAAGGGCCTTTTGTGACTAGAACAAAGAGAAACAATCCAACTTTATTGTTTTTGTTGTTTTTTGGTGGTTCTGGGGTTTTAAGTCAGGGCCTCATACTTGCTAGGCAGGAAATCGAGCACTTGAGCCGTGCCCCTAGCCCTTTTTGCTTTAGTTATTTTTCATGTAGGGTCTCATGTTTTTGCCTAGGGCCAGCCTCAGACCACGATGCTCCTACCTATGACCTCCCACATTGCTGGGATCACAGCCCTGTGTTATGACACTTCAGTTTTCTCAAGGCCTTTTCCCCAACTTTTCTAGAGATAACATTTAAATATCACATATTTCAAACCTTCAAATTAAATACATCCTCATAGATTCAGGTATCAAGTTGATATATTCACATATATACTTTCCAATTTCAGACTAACTAGACATACATTTAGAGCTATATCAATGTATCAAAGCCAAAGACAACCCAACTTCAGATCAAGAAAAACTGACCTATCTGTAGCATTTGACAGAGAAAACAGAGCTAACATGGTCCAAGAACACGCAAATAACAAATCAAACATAACCAGATGGTAAAGACTGGTCTTCAAACGGTAAAACAATGATGTCGCTTGCTTGAGACCTCTGGGTACAAAGCCACACACGCATACCTTAGTGCCACCAGCACTGGCTCAGCTTCCTTCCCTGGGAGAGCTTTGGAGCCACCAACCTGTGCTTTTGCATATTTTAGTTTCTGAACAGCTCCAGCTTGACCTTGGCATCTTGTCCAGGCTTCTGAGTAAGTCACAGCAGCACTCACACATAAAATCAGGTCTGGCTTTTTCCAGGGCAGAGGGGGAACTTATGTTACAACACAGAGAAGTCATGGGTAGGCAAGAAGCTCTACCAATTGCTCTGAGCTATTGAAGTATTTGCACAGTGTAGATAGCAGGGGCAACAGCAGTCAGCCCTAGGCCTTTGACAGCTAGGTGGCAGCACAGGGGTCAGGGCTTAAGTGTTGCATCTCCACTACCCACAGGTGTACTCTAGGTACTTCTTGCCCCTGACCACACTGGTCAGCTTGCTTCCTCCTTGCCACCACTGCTTCTTCTCTTCCTGTTACAGATCAGGAAAGGTGGAAAGGTCCCTCAAGAGAAAGCCTTTATTGAGACCTGATACGGTGACAGCAGAGTGCTCCAGAAAGGAGCACACCTCCCAGGTGCTCACAAAGGGAGTTGAGCAGCCTACCTATATAGCAGGGGTTGGGAGGAGGTCCTGCACCAATCACAACAGTCCACTTATGTTTACTCTAATCACAGTATAGCCATTATGCAAATAAAAATTGTGTTTGCACCAATCACAGGTCTTCTGTTGGGCTGAAGTGCAGTACAAGGTAGAGGAACCCACTTTTCCCTGGGACAGAAGTTAAGCATTGTTGGAGCACTGTTAGTCTTGCTAAAATACTATTACTGATAAACATTTATTGTAAGCACCCTTTTGAAAGTGCTTTGGCTCAATAGAAGACCACCTGCTACAACTACCACTTCCATGTGGGAAAGAGGTGGGCAGCACCTTTGGCTGATGCTAAGCCCTGGGTGAACCTGAATAAGAGTTAGGGCTCATAGATCACAAAAGCTCAGGCTCACCCTTGACTTTAGGTAAAGCCTGACCTAGCAACTCATATGACATTACTAAGAACCCTGTTCCTGGGGGGCCGCTTTAGGCTTTGTCAGTAGCCCCAGCATCTAGAGAGTCCTTTCACCCCCATCACAAAGGGTGTTACAGTTCTGGACCTGGTCCTCAACCTCTCCTAGTGTGAGACAGCTCCGCATGTCTCATTGGCCCCTGAGTCAGTTGTAGATGTGGGGGTCCCAGGAGGCTGTCCAGGTGCCATCAGCCTCTGAGTGCTGAGTCCACAGGAGCCAAAGCCTACACAACCCACACCCCACCTGCACCCCATCTACGCCACCCACACCCTGCCCTGTGCCATCTGTGCCCTACCTGCACCACATCCTCCCTGTGCCCCACCAGCACCAACTGCATCCTGCCTTGTGCCACCCACATCCCACCTGAGTTACCTACACCCTGTCCTGTGCCACCTACTCCCTTCCTGCTCTACCCATGTCCTCCCTGTGTCCCACCTGCTCCCTGCCCTGCACCACCTGCTGCCCACCCAAGTTGCCTGTGCCAGTTCCTCTGGCCTTTCCCACCTGATTGTCACCCACTGCTGATCCTCTGACAGGTGGTTGCGGCCTGTGGAGCTCCTGAGCTCCAGAGTTGAGGCCCAGGGTCTTTGTCCAATCAAATGTGGTCCTGGGAAATCCACCAAAGTGAACCCACTTAAAATGGGGACTGAAAAGAATGAAAAATAAGACTAAGATTCTTTAAAATGAGCTTATGGTACTATTTGTCTAATAAAAACAGGCAATATTTTCATTCATTCTCTTTTAAAAAGTTTCATGACTGAAGTACAATGCTCTTATTCTTAGACCAAACACAGAATGTGTCATCCTGTTTCTTACTTTTGCAGTTAATCAGGAGGCTTCCTTTGTTAGTTTTCTCAGTCCTCCATGTCCCTTTTGGTCACATAACCTTCATCCTGTTGATTTTCTCCTCTCACTTGCAAAGTGGCCCACTCTTGTCTCCCCTGCCCACAGGTCAGAAGGTCCTAAGCTCCCAAGATCCTCACGAGCCAGCCCAGAGCTAGAAAATGAGAGTGGCGAACCTGAGGACCATGGGACCAGAGACCCAGATGCCTCTCCAAAGGGCACCTGGCAGTCAGACAGCAGCTTGGAGAGCCGAGCCCCAGAGGAAGGTCTGTCTCTGCTCATCCTGCTCCAGGCCCATGTGGGTCCCCGCTGCACCCCAACCCTCTCCCAGGCGCCACCAGCACTAATGCCACCATCTGGCCCCACACAGAACCCTGCTCCCCAGCCATTGAGCTGGCTTCCCAACCCCAAGAGAGCCCCTTCCCAGGCCATCATCATAAGCACCTGGACCTTAAGAACCTGGTGCAGATGGAGTATCTCAAAGGGCTCACCTGCTCCACCATAGGCAGGGCTGAGTCTCCATCCCCTACACCTGTCCTCAGAACCCCTCTCCTGTCCCTGGTGCAAGCACCACATGCACACACACCAGGGGATACAGATTGAGAAGGGCACTGTCACTATTGGAAATGCATCACCAAAAGGTCACAAAACAGTTACCTGGTTGTGCTTCTGTCTGGGACACTTAAGTAGGCAGAAGAGCCCTAGGAACCATGGCTGGAAAGGCCAGGCTGAGCAATGGTGTCTGGGACCAGGGCTCCCTGAGTCTGAGGTCCCAAACCCACCAAGTGGCCAGGATCCACTGAGAGCCTTAAAACACAGACACCAGGCCACCAAGATGCCCTGCACTGAGGAGAGCTCATAACCCGTTTTGTTTTAAACTTCAATCACAACAGCACTGTTTGTGTACAAACTTCAGATCAGTGACCAACGCCACTCAGGTTAAAAAGGAACTTTTGGTCACATAACTGACAAGTCCAAGTAGGTTTCAGGCAACCTGTGGGGCTTGGCATGCTGCCCTGCACTGATCTGGTCTCAGTCCACCCAGTGTCCCCAGGCAGAGGCAGCCCCGCTCCCAGCAGCCCAGAGGTTCTCCACCCAGGAAGAGGACAACCTCCTCCCTGCAAGCCTGAGTCTTTTCTTGGCCCAAGTCTCACTGGCTCCAAGGGTCCCCAGCTCTTCCTGACTCTGTGGCCATGGCCAGGTGGCCTACCTGTGATTGGCCACTGGACTCACAGCTCCTAGCTGAGGTACAAAGGGCCAGCATCACTGAGGAGAATCAGGGCTAATCCTGGGGACAGGGACTGACGATGACAGAGAATACAGGGTGACCACAGCAGACTTGGGGTTTCTAGTGCCCAGCAAGGCCGGAGCCACAAAGACCCAGCAATGTTGGGAACCACAGACAGTCACATGTGGGACACCTCCTACCTCTGCATCCTCCGAAATAGGAGAATTGAAAAGCTGTCTGACCTGGTGCCCCCACCCTGCAGAGCCCAGCTCCTCAAGGGTGGCACATTCCTTGGCCCAGGTCCTCTGTCACAAAATGGAAACTGCTCCCTAATGAGGCCACAGGCATGCCTGGCTGTGTCCTAGGAGAAAACAAGGCTGTCTCCCCCAAACCCCTGTGTGGAATCCCAGGGAGTCCTGAGCCAGTCACATGGAGAAGTTACACCCACATGGGACCTCACCTCACAGGAGCCTGGGACTCAGGACCCCCAGAGCTCCTCCCTACTACCATCCACATTTCCCCTGGGGCAGGCTGGCTGGTCCCCACACTGAGTCCCCTGTCCCCGCTCCAACAGTGGACGAGCAGCTCTTCTGCTCTGTGGAGGGCCAGGCCACCTCTGAAGAGGAGGATGAAGAGGAGGAGGAATGGCAGGAGGAGCAGAGGCCCTCAGGCTGTGGCAGCCAGTAAGTGAAGGACAAAGCCCCAGGAAGGCTGCACTGTGCAGGCCCCTCCACAATGGCAGCTTGAAGCTGAGCCCTCCCAGGCTGACCCCCTGCCAGCCCCTCTGAGGCTGTCTGTCACAGGGCAATGACAAGCCAACCACAGCATAGGTCAGGATTAAAGGCAAGACCTCTCAGTCACAGCCCCCCGCCATTCCCTGGCCACTGTCCCAGACTCACTGGCACTCTCAGCCATTCCCAACCACTGCAGCTATATTTACTTCAATGCAGCATTTATTATACAGTGACCCAGTGCATGGCAAATTTAAGGCTCTGCAAAAAGAACAAACAAGACAATATCTCTGCTGTCCTGGGTCCTCTACTCTAGTGAGTGTGACAGGTGTGAAAAAGAGCCAGGGCGGAGGGGGACAAGGTGCTGGAAGCACCTCTGTGAAGGTGCTATTGAAAAGAGACCTGAAGGAAATGCAGGAGTAAGCAATGCAGATGATCTGGAAAGAGCATTCCAGAAACAAGAACAGCAAGTGCAAAGGCCCTGGGGCATGTTAGAGGGAGAGTGAGAAGGCCACAGTAACTTGGATAGACTGAGCAGAGGGGTTGGAAGAGGGTCACAGAGGTCAGGGGTGAGGTCTTTGGCAGTTTCTCTGTGTGACTGGGGGCCACAAGAAGGTGCTGGGCAGATGGGTACTGCACCCTGGCTTTGATTTTAGGAGACAGGCCTGACGATGAGGCCTGTTCTCTAAGGCTGGAGCACCAGAACAGCATCGCTGTGGGGACAGTGCTGATGCTCTCCTCTGCAGGTGCCATGATCAGATGGTCAAGACACCCAGGACCTACTCCAGCCACTGTGGTAATGCCAACCACACTTGCACCCTGAGGGAACTGGAGGCCCACATCACCAGGCTGGGAGAGCAGCGGCAGGCCCAAGGTTGTAGCAGGAAGGCCCTGGGCACACCTGGAGAGGAGGTCAGTAAAGCCCCAAGATGGAGTCTGTCACGCTGGAAGGGCCTGAGGTCCTGGACCCCATTCACAGATGCACACATTGGCACTCAGATGTGATTTCCTTTGACTCAGATGCAATGGGAACTCTCTGGGTTGCAGGTTACAGGGTCCCATCTCAGATTAGCTCAGATGCAAAGCAGGAACTTATGAGAACATGGGGCTGAGAACAAGGTGGCACGAGCTTCAGGAACAGCTGGTTCGAGGGATTTTGACACAGTCCTACAGTCTGTTGTGAATTTCTCTGGTTTCTGGCCTCACTTTCCCTGGCTTCAGAGGGGTGAGGGAAGGGGAGACTGACGTCTCTAGTCTCTGCAGACCAATGAGAAACCCCAGGGGGAAAATGAGTCTCAGCCTCAGGCAATACTGGTGGTATGAAGGCAGGTTCTGTGATTGACTGCCCACAGTCAGAGGAAGTGATGTAGCAAGAAGCAGCAGGAGGTTGCTGAATACCCAGTAACCTCCAATTTCAATAAGACCTCTTAGCACTTGTCATTTTGTCTGTCTGGCCTGTAGCAACTTTTCATGTCCCTAGTGGCTAAACAATGCCACTGACAGCTGTCCTTCCACTGACCCACTGCACTTTTGCCTACTGGTTTTGATATAGGATCATTTTACACTTACATCTCTGAAATTCTAAATGTGCTGTTAAAGATGTATGGTTGGATACTGTTCTAGCTTTGTAAATAATAACTTAGAAATGATACCACCTTCCACACACAGCACATAAGCTGTGCTGGGCACTGACATGCCCTCTCTCATTTAAGATCAAGGGCAGGGGCTCAGTGGTAGTGTTGCCTAGCACAGGATGCCTGGCTTCCATCCCCAGCACAAAAAAATAAAAGTGGGTCAGGCACCAACCACTCACTCCTGTAACCCTAGCTACTCGGGAGGCAGAGATCAGGAGGATTATGGTTTGAAGCCAGCCCAGGGAAACAGTTCGTGAGACCCTATCTCAAAAATATCCATCAAAAACAGGGCTGGCAGAGTGCCTCAAGTGGTAGAGCACCTACCTAGCAAGTGCAAGGCTCTGAGTTCAAACCCCAGTACTGCCAAAAAAAAGGGAAAAAAATGAAGGAAGGGAGGGAAAAAGTCATTTTACGGTCAAGGAGCACAATGAGATAGGTAAGGAATGGTTTGAAGGAAATCATTGCTCAGAAACTGTGCCCTCAGCCACATCAGTGTGCCCATTAAACCACAGCAGCTACTCTGCTCCATCCTCTGGAAAAAGAGAGCACTGGGTCCTGTTTAGGTGACACCCGTTAGAGTGTGAAATCAGAGACCAGACAGAAGAAAGCAGGCCTAAGTACTGAGGTGAACTGGACACTTTGATGTTTGCAAAAGGAAATGATGAATGTCAGCCACTTGTGGTACACGCCTGTAGTCCCAACTACTGCGGAGGCTGAGGCAGGAGGATGGCTTGAGCCCAGGAGTTCAAGGGCAGCCTGGGCAACATAGCAAAGCCCTGTCTCAAAAGGAAGAAAGGAAGGAAGCGAAAAAGCTGAATGTCATTAATGGGGAGCCAGTGTGGCTGCTTCTAAGCCTTCCAATGAGACAGAGTCTGTACCACCTGTGATTCTGGAACCTCTGCCTTCAGGGGGAGGGGTGGTGCACAGGGTTGGGGGGAACCTCCCCTATAATAAGCCTGAAAAATCTAAGAGTTGTCAAAGGACAAAATCATAACAAGTTAGTTTTAAGATTATAATTAGCTTCGTTTGTGAGTCTAGAATCAGGCAACACCTCACTCCATCTAACAGTATGTTCCAATGAGCTGAGCCAAGGATGTTAGTTTTGTAGATAGAAAAGACTGAAGACAGCAGACACAGAGAGCAGTTGTTCACTTCTAAGTCACTGTCCCTGTGAGGTGCACAGAGGAAGATGGGATAATAGAAATAGAACTGGTTTACTTTGTCACATCTTCTTGTAAGGATTATGGCAGAGGGAGCAACTGGCCTGGGGAAATCTGTCCACCCTCTCCTGATTTCTCAGAAAGTTTCAGCTTAGTGATGTGCTCTAGGCTGAGGGGCTCCATTCTGATCTTTAGCCTGCTCTGTGGGGGCCCAGGCCAGGAGCTCAGTCCTAAACAGTGGCTTCCCAGGATTGCTATTGAACAGAACTTAATTCAGATGAAACTCAACTCACCAGAGCAGGAGCCAGTGCTAACCAGCATGGCACTGCCCTCAGTCCTGACTCTAGGCCTGTGTGACCTTGAGAAGGTTACTTGATGCTTCTGCACCTCAGCTTATTTATCTATAAAAAGGCAGAATATAAGTATGAGTACACACATATGCAGTGGGTGGCCACAGTCCCCACCATCTGGAAAGACATTCTCTAGCATTCTTGTGTTAGGTGATCTCATATGTCAGGGTTTTCATCCATATTCTCACCACCATGGCTCAGCCTTCCCTGAGGCCTTGGTCTTGCTGGCCAGATGTCCTTCAGGAAAGCCACAGCCTCTGTGCTGGGAAAGGGTGCTGATCAGTGATGTGCAGGGCTGGAGGCCACCTGGAGGTAAACTGTCAGTCACAGCTATTGCCTCTTTTCTGAGTAAATTTCAAGACTACAGGGTTGAAAATGAGCCAAGTCCTCACTATGATGGACCAAGGCACAGGACCTGTGTCCTCCTGCCCAAAGCCACAGCACACCAAGGCAGCCGCCTCCTTCTCCTGTCTTTGTGCCAAGGGATGCTCACCAGATGCAGGCCGGCTGCATGCCTGCATTAGAAGAAGATGGCCATGGGACGCTCCACTGGCATTCTGGTGGATTCGTGGCTCTTCACCACCAGTACACACTCACTGCACATGTATAGCACACACGTGTATTCTGCCTGTTTTACAGGCTCAGTAGCCTACCAGTACCTTCTTTGTCTGTTTAAGCTAGCCAGGTGGGTTTCTACTGCTTGCCATCAACCAAACTTATTAAAAAACAAACCAGAGCCCTGAGTTCAAACCCCAGCACACAGAAACAAATCAAAAGCTTAGAGAAGACGAGGGAGAACAGAGCCCTTAGAATAGGAAAGAAAAACCCATACTCTACGTCAGTCCTGCTCACCTTGCAATTTGGGGCCAGGTACTCAGCTTCTCTGGGCCTCAGCACCACCCTGAGATAGAGCATGGTTTACTTGCCTGACTACGGGGCAAGCTGGGGTAGGCCAGGAAGATGAGCTCTGTGAAAGCATTAGTCCTTACACTGAGACCCTTTCCCTCCCACCTCCTGCCTTCCCGCAGGCAGAGCTGCAGCAGAAGGTGGTGGAGAGCGAGCACCTGCGGCTGGAGCTGCAGATGGTAGAGACGGAGCGGGTACAGCTGTTGCTGCTGGAGGAGAAGGTGGTGGACGTGCTGCAGCTCCTGCAGAGGCTCCGAGACTTGGTAGGCAGCCCCGGAGTTGTGGGTAGGAGGCTTGCAGGTGCCATCTATTTGACTGATGGAGGCTCGGAGAGGCCAGCAGAAAAGAGGGAGTTCCCAGGTCGTGTTAGGATGCTGGGGTTACTGTGAACTAAAGGTCAGAGGAGGACAAATGAGTTGTAAGCTGCTTACAGCAGCAAAATCACTAAAGAGAAATGTAGCAGACCACATCCACGCTTTTCAAAGAAATGCAATGTAACCAAGTCCATTCCCCTAGGATCATGGGTGATCCATTTCCAGTAATGCATCACCATGATCTGCTGTGCTGCAGAGTGAAGGAAGAAACTGTGCACCACCTCGACAGGCACAAAAGGCCACTGAGCCAGGACTGTACAGCCAGCATGAGGCGGACACAGGACCAAATCCTGAGCAGGATCTTTGCTGTGCCTCAGGCTGCTGGGGACACAGGGCAGCTGATGTCACCCAGTGTCACCCAACCTGGGCAAGCAGAGAGCTGCAGATGGGTCCTGAGGTGCAGCATTCCCAGTACAGGCCTGGGCCATGCAGCCCAGCGAAATACTGGGCCACCTCCAACTGGGTGGCTTTGGGCAAATCTCTCTCTCTCTCTCTCTCTCTCTTTTTCATTTTTTTATTTGTTTTTTGAGACAGTGTCTCACTATGTAACCATCCTGCCTCAATCTCCAAGTGCTGGGATTACAGACGTGCCCCACCATGCCTGGCTCTTTTATTTTATTTTTTTTAACATTGCTTTTTATTATTGGTTAAAATGGTTCAAATGAATGATTCATAAAAGCACTTCTTAGTCATGGTTATTTCCCAAGTGCTTATGTCCCACATTAAGGCAATCCTTAAATACATGGTCTTTGGTGGGATAGAGCCTGCACACTGTTCCATCACCCCCCAAAAGTCTCTGAGATGCCAGTGTGCACAGCCTGAGGGCAGGAAGAGGTGATGGGGAGGAAGGGATGATGGAGCAGGAAGGGGTGATGGAGGGCAGGAAGAGGTGATGGGAGAGGAAGGGGTGATGGAGGAGGAAGGAGTGATGGGGAGGAAGGGGTGATGGGGGCAGAAGAGGCGATGGGAGAGGAAGGGGTAATGGGGGCAGAAAGAGGTGATGGGAGAGGAAGGGGTGATGGGGGAGGAATGAGTGATGGGGAGGAAGGAGTGATGGGAGACAGGAAGGGGTGATGGGAGGCAGGAAGGGGTGATGGGAGAGGAAGGGGTGATGGGGAAGAAAGGGGTGATGGAGCAGGAAGGGGTGATGGGGGAGGAAGGGGTGATGGGGGGAGGAAGAGGTGATGGGGAAGAAGGGGTGATGGAGCAGGAAGGGGTGCTGGGGGAGGAAGGGGTGATGGGAGAGGAAGAGGTGATGGAGATCAGGAAGGGGTGATGGGAGACAGGAAGGGATGATGGGGGAGGAAGGGGTGATGGGGGAGGAAGGAGGTGATGGGGGAGGAAGAGGTGATGGGAGAGGGAGAGGTGATGGAGATCAGGAAAGGATGATGGGGGAGGAAGGGGTGATGGAGGAGGAAGGGGTGATGGAGCAGGAAGGGGTGATGGGGGAGGAAGAGGTGATGGGGAGGAAGGGGTGATGGGAGAGGAAGAGGTGATGGAGGTCAGGAAGGGATGATGCAGTCACTTTATTGAGCCCAGGGAGCTCCACAGAAGTCACTGATCCAGCCCTCTCTCCATTTCTTTTGAAGAACATATCAAAGAGAGCCCTGGGAAAGATCTTGCTGTGCACGCTGGACACTTGCAGGGACCCCACACAGGGTAGGAGAATGCCCCATCCCACAGAGCCTAGACAGCTGCTGGGGGAATCCTGACCAGGAAACTCCAGCACTGCCCTGAGTGTCTTGTCTGCAAAATGGTGACATTGTTCCTGCCTGAACAATGCAAGGGGTAAAGTCTAGGGCAGACTTCAGAAAGGGAAGAAAGCAGTTTACCAAGAGCAGAGATGCAGAAGCCCCAGGCAGACACACAGACAGAAGCCACAATGGTCACATCCAGCAAGGGGACTGTTCGGGGCTGGCGTGCTCACTGGGCTTACTGTGGGCCAAATTCTGGGGAGGTGTCTCAGTTCCCCCCACATCCTTCTAGCTGCCATGTAAGGAGGGAGTTATCGTCCCCATTCCACAGATGAAGAGACAAGCACAGAGGGTCAGGTGCTGGCCACACCTAAGGCTGGGTTATTTCCCAGAAGCACTAAGCCACAGATCCTGCTGCTTGGACAAAGGTCAGGGCACCAGATCTCACCAGGGCCAGCCACACCCTGCCTGAGGGCATTGCAGGCTGATGGGGAGACCAATGGTGTGAGCCTTTGCTTGTTGGCCCTTTCTGGGGACCTGAATGGTCCCTGACATCCAGGAGAGAAGGAAGCATGTGCTAGAAGCCTCCTCTCAAAGAGTCCTCAGTGGAGGAGGGACACCAGGGAGAGGGAGATAGCTGGACAGGGCTGGGAGTGGTACCAGCATGGTGGTGGCAGCCCCAGGGAGGAGGAAGGGAGCCCTGTGGGGCTGAAGCAGACTAATGCTGCTTCCTGCTACCCTTTCTCTCCAGAAGCCAGATCTGGTCCCTTGGCCATCCTGGATGCCCTGTACCAAGCCTTGGCCGGCTGCGAGCTCCTTCAGAGACAGCCATCAGCAGCTGAGGGTCCTGCACTCACCAACCCCCTCCTTGTCTCCTGCTGAGGTCCTCAGCAGGATCAGGCAGCCTGATTCTATGGGACCAGCCTCCTGATCATTCAGACCACTATCACACTGCCCCCCATGGCCAGCACACCCTCCACAGATGGTCTGACCACTGTCGCATCCTCAGAATTCTGGAGGCCCTGACTCCTTCAAAGACTGGCAGCCACCCCTTCCTTGGGTTCCTCCTACATTCCCCTTGCATTCCTACCATCAGACCCTACGATGAAGCCCCAGTGTTGCTAGATGAGCCCACAGCTGATGCTGACTCCCTTGCCTGGCCCTGTGCAGCTTAGAATCTCTTCTATAAGGCCCCAGGATTTCTCCCCCACCCCCAGCACTGTCCTCTTCCACTAGCCTGCAGGCTGCATGGGAGCCTGAGCCCAACCTGGAGGACACATCTGGTCCACTGGGGATCTCTCCACACCCAGAAAGTGTTAAAGACTACGAAAGGCCAGGAAAGTTCAGGGAGGGCCTGGTCTCTAGGCTTCCTGTAGAAGCTGGCTTTGAACACACTTTAGAAGAGTTAGGATTTGGATGAGCAAAGAGAGGAGAATGGTGTCTGATTTGTGGTAACAGCAAGAACAGGAGTGTGGTGTTGGTGGGGCCCCCATACAGTACCTGGAGTCCTCCTTCCATCTCACATTCTTACAGGATTGCAGCAAGATTAATACAAGACACCCAGTCTCCCCAGTTTAGAAATCACAGAGGAAAGAAGGACATGCTGGCTTATAGTACAGTGTGGTGAAATCAGCACTAAAACAAGAAAGAAGTACGAGAGGCCAACCAAGGGGGTCTGTCTGAACTGCACAGGACAGGATGCAGGTGCACCACAGAGGACAGAGTGCACCACAGAGGGCAAGGTGCACGATCGAGGACAGGGTACACAGTGGGTCAGCAGGAAGGAGAAGGTCTGTCTGAGCCAGCTGGAGAGAGCCAGGTGGGGCAGCTCATGGGGTCTTGCTGGCAGACAGAGATCTGAGAGTTGGCACAGACAATGGGGAGCTAAATTGCCATGTTGAGGTTAGATGGGAGGCAGGGAATGAAGAGGCAACACAGAGCTGTGTACACAAGAGGGCCAACAGGGTCTAAGCCAGAGCCACAAGTGACTGAGGGGTCAAGGGGCAGCCACAGGGGAGGCCTGGGAGCAGACGCATTCCCATTCCTAGGTAGGGACAACAAGGAAGAAAGGGGAGGGAGGGGCTGGAAGATAATATGCTGGGCTCTGGCCTCAGACCCCAGCCCTGGACATCACCAGGGTTTCTGGGAACCAGGCAAAGCTCCTGTTTTCAGTGCTCCTCTGTGGCTGGCCCAGAGGGCCACCTCTGGTCCAGGTGTAACAGACCTATTTGGAAAGGGCCCCAGGACTCCTCTCAGCTCAGTCTAAGCCCCCCGGGCCTGCTCCTGTATCTGTGCCACCTGAGCCCCTCCTGGAGTCCTGCTCAGTGAGGGCCGCCTCTGCACCCTGCTCATGCTCAGCTGTGGGCATTGTCACGCATGCCAGAACTCAGTGTGCACAAGTGTGTAGGTAAAAACTCAGGGGACCCCAGGGGACCCCACATGTCAGTGAGTCTGCCTCCAGGAGCTCTGCTAAATCCTCACAGGGAAAAGGAAGAAAAAGCTTGTGCCTCCAGAAGAGGGAGAATAAATGTGACCAGTATGAAATTCATATCTGGGCTTTGGTTTTGGTTTTTGTGGTGTGGGGAATTGATCCCAGGGCCTCTTCACACAAGGCCAGGACCCTATAGGGAAACCATGGCCTCTCTTCTTTTTCTTTAATCTCCACTGGGTTTGAATTAAACTTGGGGCTAGGCAGACCTTGTACCACTTAGCCATGGCACCATCCCTTGTGCTTTAGTTATTTTTGAACAAGGTCTTCCATTTATGCCAGGCTGTCCAATTTATACTTCCCACACAGCTGGATAGCAGGTGCATGCCACCATGTCCAGCTGTTTATTGGTTGAGATGGGGTCTCTCAAACTTTTTACCTTGGCAAGATTCAAACCATCATCCTCCCAATTTCTGCCTCCTGAGTAGCTAGAATTACAGGCATAAGCACTATGCCTGGCTCCACTCTGTCTTTTTTGTTTTTTTTTTCTATCAAGGCCTACCCTCAAGAGAAACTACTTTGCTAGAGCCTTACCAGTGGAGATTTAATTAAGAGTCCAACCAACCTGAATGAAGGGAAATTCCCAGTCCAGGTCCCTCAGCTGTCCTGTCCCACGTAAGAGGAAAATCTGAGCCCATACAGCCCAGGGCATGGCTCACTAAGAGACTGAGACCTTATCTGAGCACTGTGTTTTGCTTTGTGTTTCATGTTTTGTTTTGGAGACAGGGTCTGATTTTGTTGCTCAAGCTGGTTTCAAACTCCTGGGCTCAGGCAATCCCCCAGCCTACCAAGTCACTGGGACCACAGGTGTGTGCTGCTGTGGCCTGGCTAATCCCACCACTGCAGAACCATTTCCTTTCCCACACCACACCCTCACCACAGCTCCAAAGGCCTAGTTACTGGAGGTCCTTCTGCCCAGCTACACTTCAGCAAAAGACGGCAGGACACGCTGAGATGTAGAAGGCAGAGCTAGAAGAGATGGAGCTAGCACAGGAACAAGAGCAGGTATATCAGGGAATCTGGAATTGTCAGATTGGAAATTTAAAACCACTGTGGCTATTAACAGACAACAGATCGACGGAGGCAGAGGATGAAGAGAAGTGCCAGTAATCAAAACCCTGGACAGAAGTGGAGAAGGCTCTGAGGGACTCCTTAGTCACCTAGACCCAAGGAAATGCAAGCAGACACTTCCAAAACTGAGGAGAAGATGAGCGAGAACAGAGTCCAAGAACTGACAACTACCAAAGGTGTGACTTCAGTCTGGTGGGAAGAGAAAGAAATGGGAAAGAAGTGACTTAGAACCACCCCAAATTACTGTCAGACACAAACACAGGTCCAGAGAACACAGCAGAATAAATACAAAAATAAAAAATAAATTTAGACGTACACTAGGCATCTCACATTCAAACTGCAAAAATCTTAAAAGAAGCCAGAGGGGAAGTAGCACCTTACCTAGCAGAGGAACAAAGATGGGAATCACATCCAACTTCTCAGAAACTGTGCAGGATGCAGACAGGAAGAGAATGGAAGCTGGTGTGGCAGCCATACCTGGTACCCCAGCACTCAGGAGGCTGAGGCAGAAGGATGAGTCCAAGGCTGGCCCAGCTGCTACAGAGTGAGACCATCTCAGAAGACAAAAGGCACATTAACAAAACAGCCTAGAACTCATTGTAGCTTTCAAATTTATCCTTTAAAAGTGAGGGTGAAATAAACCCTCTTAGGCAAACAAAACTTTCTTCTTGACTTGCAAAAAATAAAGGAAATTCTTCAGACAGAAGGGAAATTACAAAGATCAAAAACTTGGTAAAACAAAAATCTTCATTTTTCATGTTTGTTTTTGGTCTGCAAGCCGTGTCGTTGAGATGAGTAACAGCGAGGGCACAAGGAGAGAAGAGGAATTAGTGATGCACCTAAACAGCCTATGAGGCAGCAGCGTTCTTCAAAAATGGTCCTGGCTGAGTTGTAAGAGTACATTGCAAACTCAATGGGGAAGTAGCTGTTAACTTTTAGTTAGAACAGCCCTATCATGGGAAGAGAAACTTCATAGGAACTCTATGTGGAAAATGGGTCAGCAGAACTATTGGCCAACAACATGGAAATTCTGTTGAATTATTTTGGAGTACTAAAAGAGGAGGTAAGCATAAACATGTTGCAAATGGAGATATTGGTGAAAAGTACACACATGTGCATGCTACATCAGCTCAGTACTGTATGGCAAATAGGAAGGAAGACCTAACAAAATATATTTTCTTATATGACAAGGGTTTGATATTTTTTGTTGAAGTCACATATATCAAGCATATATATATACATATACATATATATATACATATACATATATATATATACATATACATATATATATACATATACATATATATATATATACATATACATATATATATACATATACATATATATATACATATACATATATATATATACATATACATATATATATACATATACATATATATATATAACCAAATAACCTTGATGCTTTATTGAAATAGAAATTCTTTCATTTGTGGTGAGCTGTTAAGCAAAGGAAATTCACAAATACGAATTAAATGAATTGTTCTTTAATTGACTTTCCACACTCTGTCCCTAAAATTTCTCATTCTCTTCCAAGATTTAATTCTTATGCAGATTATATCCTACAGTATAGAAAACAGTGCCAAGGTGTCTGGTATACTAAGAAGTTATATATTCAGCTCTCTTTCAATGTATTAATAAATTCTACTACTATAAAAATGGTTTACTTATTATTCCAAATTCTGGCTACCCTGAGTTTCTAAGGGACTTGATTATACCACCCAATCAAATTTAAAAACAAATCTTAGACATCATGTCACAAGATCAAGGAATTTTCACAATGAGAATTTTATATAAGCAACCATGTTATACCCATGCTTCTTTCAGTTCCTATTGACCACAAGTCATTTAATTTCATAAAACTCTGAGTTGTATTTTCCTTCTTTTTTCTGGCCTTATCCTCAAATATGTGCACACATTCATGTGAATGTGTGTGGGATATCTGTATGAGACCATATCAGAAAAACAACATAAAGCTTAAAGGGCTTGAGGCATGTGTCCAGTGATAAAGATCATGCTTAGCAAGCATAAGGCCGTAAGTTTAAAGCCCTGTACCACAAAATTCGGACCAAAACAACCATTCCCAAGCCCCTCAATCCCCACCCATGCTTATGCACTGCCTATGTAACTGTGGTGAATAATTTATTGTACATTTTCTCAGACCTCTGTAATGTACAATTATGCATAGCTACCTATTCATCCATATCTATGTACATAATCATGTATGTTTGTATTCCTACAAAATATTCATGCACATGTGAATGTGTTAAGGAGGAAATACTGAGCCTAACTTTAGAAT